TTATCTAAAATTAAGAAAAATCAAGTTTGACTTAGATGAGATTTCAGTGATGACTAAAATAATAGTTATTGTTGTCAAGGAAAAAATACAGTAGAAATTGTGTTTTATGGTGTCATATGATGTGACTTAGGTCACACGGTGTCTCACTAACAGCTCCAGAAATGCCAGCAACAATCAGATAAACTCAGTTGTTCTTACCCAGAGTGAAAACGAGCCAAACCCAGCCATCCATGATGATGAGCTGCTGCAAATCAGATTTCCTGTTTGTCCGGTTTAGTAAAAGTTTACATATTTTAAAGACGCCACTCTGTGAGTCTGCATGAAACCATTCAGCTGCATTATTCTGCTTCACAATGAGCCACCAGATCATATAACACATGATTGTTTTACTGCATGTTTTTTTCAGGAAAAAGTTCCTGTATCGACTGTCTTTGCTCATAAGTTACCTATAAAGGACTTTGAACTGCAGTCCACCTTCGTAAAAGGTGCTAAATTAATAAATATGGTGTGATTTACCGTAGGGAAGGTGCACAGTGTGAAACCTGAAGTGTCACTGGTAAATCTCAGAATCTGCAAACTTTTAATGTCGTTTTTGTTTTTATTGTAAAACGATCAAGGACCTACAGTCAGCAGCAGTGAAGGTAAAGGTAACACGTGTTTATCAAAAACAGGTCAAAATAATAGAAACACCATAATACTGTATAGCAGTGATGTCCAACTCATTTTACATCATGGACCATGCACCGCCCACTTTGCCTTTAAGTGGTCCTGACCAGTGAAACCCTTCTTTTTTGTCACTGTACAGAAGTTTAACTGCAATCCATGAGATATCTTAATACGGGAAAAAGAAGTGTTGCTACAATCGTATGTCTTTTTTTCTACATGATAGAGAAATGCTAATGTAGTTAATCAAAGAAATCTGTCAGCATGACTCTTTGGGTTTAAACTATAAACAATCATTTTGTAAAATTACAGAGACGTCCTGGTAGCTCACTGTCCTCTACCTTTTTATTATTATTATTATTATTATGAGCCGATTGTAAAATAAATAAATAAATAAATAACAGAGAAATTTCTATAGTACACAAAGAAAATGCAACTTTTCTGTCATTGAACTTTTTATCTATTACTTAATTACTTTAGTGTGGTATGAATGCACATGGGGGAGGTCTTTATCAGCAGGACAAGCAGTAAAACTCATGAAAATACAGTTAAAATCGAACATTTATGAGCCGACTGTGAGCCTTGAGCCTTACATTTGACACCCACTCTAATAATTTAGAGCCAGTTTACAGGGACTGGCTGTAAACTATTCAGTAGGGGGAGTTTTGTTTTAGGACAATTTAACCCAGAATTCAAATGTACAGAGAAAACAAGTAATGACCACTGATGCTGACCATGCTGGTGGCTGCCCACTGCTCCTTATGAGTTAAATGGAACAAAAAAGCTTCCATGTATGGGTCAACCTCTCTACACCTGAAATTTAAATCATTATTAGGCAAAATTGAGGAACATCAACTCCAAGTCCCAAAAAGTTGATTCTGTTCATCTGGACGTAGCGTTTTCAGTGGGAGAAACGTTTCGTCACTCATCTAAGTGACTTCTTCAGTCTCAGCTGACTGCAGGTTTCCCCAATCTTATAAACAGTACATTTGTATAATGAGAAACTAGCACCACTGAAGGAACAATAGGCTGGGAGGTTAGTTTCTTCATCATAGTTATGCAAATTCTCATGACCATTGATCAACAACTAGTCATCAAAGATCATTGATCAAAGACCACTGATCAATGGCCATGAGTACCATTTACAGAGAGCTGGGGAATGGCTGCAATCACAGCATTGTAAGATAGTGAAAGATGTACCCATAGGCCCCCTCCTCGATTCCTCCCCTTTTCACGTAAATGAACTCCGCACTCAAACCAGTGTTCCTCCCTGTCCAGGATGTGTACATCCTCATCATTGAAAGAGTGTCCACTGGCCTGTACGTGTAAATAGACCGCAGAGTCTTGGTTTGATGAGGTAGCTCTTCTGTGTTGTGCCATCTGCTTTGGCAGAGGTTGTTTGGTTTCTCCAATAGATAAATCCTGGCAATCCTCTTGGCACTTAACAGCGTACACTATCTTACTCTGTTTGTGTCGGGGGACCCGATTCTTGGAGTGGGCTAATTTTTGGTGCAGCGTGTTTTGGGGTTTAAAAGCCACAGAGATGCAGTGTTTATAAAAAAATGTGTCTCAACTCTTCCAATACTACAGACACGTACGTGATCACTATGAGTTTCCGGCTAGGTGGCAGTTGTTCTTTTGGCACCTTCCCAGCTTTGACAAATGTCCAGCTGGGATAACCACATTTACTCAGGGCCTTCTTGATGTGATGTCCTTTTGCTTCTTTGTCCACTGTGTCTGTGGGGATAGTGTTTGCTGTGTGTTGTAGCGTCCTGATAACACCCAGTTTATGCTCAGTGGATGATAAGAGTCAAACCTCAAATACTGATCCGTATGCATAGGTTTCTGATATACATCAGCTTTTAAATGTCCGCCATTACTGATGGAAATCTCACAGTCTAAGAAAGCTAGCCTGCCACTTTTGATATCCTCACTAGTGAATTTGATGAGTTGGTCCACCGAGTTAATGTGATCCGTGAATTGTGGTACGTCCTGAGATTTGATTTTCACCCAGGTGTCATCCACATACCTGAACCAATGACTTTGTGGTGTTCCATGTTAGGATAACAAAGCCCTCTATTGCACTTCTTCCATGTACAAATTGGCCACAATGGGTGAAACTGGTGAACCCATGGCACAGCCATGTTTCTGCCTGTAGAACTGACCCTTGTATGTGAAGTAGGTGGAATTAAGACACAGTTCCAAAAGCAAACACACTTGGTCGGGGCTGAGAGCGGTCCTGTTGCTGAGGTTGGGGTCATCCTGTAATCTCTTACGGACTTCCTCCAACTCGTCCGTGACTGGGATGCAATTGAGAGATGTAACATCGTACGAGACCATGGTTTCATCTGCCTCCATCATGACATCTCTCACCTTCTCAACAAAATCCAAGGTGTTCTGGATGTGGTGTTCAGAGCTACCCACCAACAGGCTGAGGATCGAGGCCAGAGACGTTATAGGTGACCAAGTTGATCATACAAACAATTGGTCTTAAAGGTGCACAATTTTGTCATTGAGAAGTGACAAAATTTTCTCATGATACTCTTTCTGGTTTAGCAAATCCATGCACCTACCGTTGTCTGCCGGAAGGATGATGACATTGTTGTCATTACTAAGTGATGTGAGTGCCTTCCTCTCCTCCATGCTGATGTTGGATGCTGGGGGCTTTGCAAGTTTCAGATTGTGGCATGACCACTTTCAAAAAATAAGTTAAGTCTGCAATAAACTTTTGCAAAGACAGTATTTATTTTCACACACATAAAAACATGTTAAAAAAAGTGTTTGTCCTTTTACAATTGATAGCAGAACTGAGTTCAACATCTTTCAGATTATACAAAATAAATTAAAAAAAAGTCTGTTTTCATTTAATGATTCAGCTCAGTCTGGCAAATCTGACAAAACAAGTCCACATTTGCAAAACTTGGCATTTCCCCCATAAAATTAAAGTCAGATATATTTTTAAAGTCTTGATAAAGTTCATGAATTCTGAGATTAAAATGTTTTCTGAATCATCAAAAACAACGTGTTTTGAAGCCTTCTCATTTTCTGCTTTTGTACACACACATACTGATACTGATCAATCAATGAATATTACAAATAAACATCATAATAGAGGCTGTGATCAGACTGAAGTTCCCCTTGCATTTATTCTCAAAGAAAAAAATATCTCATTTAGTTAACAAACTGAACATTTGTGTCACTAATTATCTGAAAATAACTGATAATCAAAATGAATATATATATTATATTATTATTATTATTTTTCTGAAGATGGTGTTGATGCACCAACATCAACACTATCTTCAGGACAAACAATTTGGGGTTTTCTTCTGCAAACTTAAAATTAAAAATTGAGGTTCTGGTGCAGCAGGAAGAGTTGGCAGGACTTTGTTAGAGGCCTTTACTACAAAGCAGGAATCTGGGCTTGTGCAGTTAACTTCAGGGTAATTCTCAGTTTTCAGTTTTGAATTCTTTCTAATCTTTACTCTCAGACTTTTAAACACTATCAGGGCTGCAGCTGAAACAACTAACACTGTTAATTAGAATTCATCAGATTCTCCTGTGCATTAATGATAGAGTTCTTTAGAGCTCTTTTTACTTGTAGTCAGCATAGTTGTCAGATGTCTCTCTTTCTTATTGTTTTTTTCTCTCTTTGCAAATTCAGTCTCTCTTCTGCTCATTCCATGTAACAAATTGGTCACATGCTGCCAAAGCCACCCTTGTCATTTTACAGCACTTGTACCTAGACTGACCTGGTTTAACCTAATGTTGATACCTACATTCTTATGGCCTCTTTGTCTGACTGATGATGTTAGGGTAGGGTAAAGCCATAAATCCAGGTAACTGGAAGTTATTCTGAGTATGTTGAATTTGTTTCACAGCACAGAGCCCAGATGTTTATGGCTGTCCTTATATGTCTCACACTGTACTGAAATTGGCAAAAATTCAGCTACAGGACGCTAGCAAGACAGATCTCAGTGACCATAGAGCTAAAGGATAAAATTATTAGAATGAAAAGTCTATGTTTTATTTTAGTTTTCACAAATTCAGCATCTGTAATGTCTTGAATTATGCTGATTGGTAGGTCAAGGATTTAGGAATAGAAGGAAACATGCTTTTTCTGCCCTTCTGGACTGGACTATCTCAGGAGCGCAGCCTGTGATCTGAAACTGAGACAGAGTTCTCTTATGTAGAAAAAATCTGCTGGCATTTGAAAGAGTGTCTGTGTGCAGAGGTGGTAATCATTGTCAGGTGACCTACATACTGATCTGCTGCACACAGTTAATGATTGAACCGCTGCTCAGTGTCTGTCTGAGGGGTTCAGAGGTTTTTGGAGGGGGGTATGTGAGGTTGGACTTGGGTGAAACTGAACTCTTTGGGTTTTCATTCAGTTAGCAGGCACCATGGCTCAGCTGGTGGAGTGTGTCCCCAACTTCTCCGAGGGCCGAAACAAAGAGGTGAGAGGAGGACTTTTCTGCCTAATTAACATTTAAACAGTTTAAAGTAAATAAGTAAAGGTGTGTGAGTATTATCAGCAAAATGTGATTCAAGTATAAACGTGCTCATTGTGAACTGAAATGCTGTTTGACTTTAGTTTTAAAGTTACAACTGCAAGTGTTTGTATTTGCTGCTTTGATCTGTGTGTTTGATTTAATAGTTTATATATGTCATGATCCTGGGTCTGTTGACCCAGCGTTTTGAGTTTTAGTTTATGTAAGCCCGTCAGGTTTCCTAAGTTCATTTGTTATCATGCCTAGGTGTTTCTAGTTCTTATTATTTCCCCCTCGTGTTTCCAACTATGTTAAATCTCCCCTGCTCTTCATGCGTTTCATGTCTGTGTCTTACGTTGTCAAGTTCGGGTTGTCATGTCTATGTCTCATTATGTTTCCTGTTTTATTGTGAAGAGGTCTGGTGTTTCTGTGTTCAGTTTTACTCTCCCACGCTGACGTCATTATGTTCATGTGTGCCAGCTGTTTCCCCATGTGTTCCCACTTCCCTCATCATCCTCCTGTGTGTATTTAGTCCGTGTGCTTTCAGTCATTTGTTGTCAGGTCGTCTGCTCATCCATGTCTCATCCCCAGGTACCCATGTCAGTTCACTATGGTTAAGCTTTTTCATGTTTTGTTATTAGTTCACCCAGTTTAGGTTATTGTTTAGTTTTCACCGATGCCCGATTATTTTTACCCTCATTGCTAGCCTCAATAAACGGCTTGTTTTGTTTATCCACACTACGTTTTGGTCTGCGTTTGAGTCCTCCTCTGCAACACATACGGTCTGCCCCAGCCAGACCGTGACAATATATCTTTGACATTGAGATGATTTTAAAAAATCAGAAAAAACTTTAGGCTCTTTTGGCAGTTTGAGATCATGAGAGAGAGAGAAGCGGGTGATTCCCTGTGAACAGCACTTGGTGACAGTGGGGAGGAAGAACTTCATCTTACAGGAAGTAGCCTCCCTCAGAGGAACAGCCATCTGAGGAGAAAGGAAAAGAGAAAAGAAGAGCATAGCAAGATCCTAGACTTCATTCTTCATTTGCCTTTGAATTTAAAATAAAAATATTGATAGATTTCTGGATCTTTACTGAACAGGAAGTGCATAAAATGCTAGAATATTACTTAAACTGTCAAAAACTGCAATTCAGTAAAAAGTGACCAAGATATGGTTTAGAGTAATGAGATATGTCATTAAACATTAAACAGCTAATCTTTTTATCTTTAAACAAACAAAATATCTTTAAACTGCTCTGAAAACAGTTTAAATGTCTCAACATGAAGTCTGCAGGAGACTGATGTGTTTAACGTGTGAGTGAGGTGCTCTTGAGTTCAGATTATCTGTTGAAACATTCGTTAAACAGACATTAAAGATTCACTCCAGAGTAAAGCTGTGTACTTACCTTTGCCCTCTGTTCCCACAAGAGGAAAACAGTTCCACGGAAGTGGGAACATTAAATAATCAGCTGATTTTCTGTTTAACCACAGAATATGCTTGTGTTTTGACAAACTACACTGTTCTCATATTCCAGCAGCACTGGTTTGTAAAAAATCAGCTGCCAATCAAACCAGAGTACAGTCCAAATTGGACACCCACTGAAAGCATCTGATGCTTTATGATACCAAAAATACAAAACAGGTGAAGCTGAAACCCAACTTTATGAAAGAGAAAGGACGTATGTGGTTTTCAAACTGCAGCAACTGGTGTCCTCATAACAATGTAAATAAATAAATAGAGCCGATGCAGTACATTGAGAAACATGTTCCTAATTTAAGTTTTTGATACTTGTTGCTAACACAAATTCTCAATTTTTTGATGTTATCTTTGTTCTATTTCCAGTTTAATGCGGGTTTTAAATAATTTCAAATTGTTTCCATTTTATTTCAATGACAGCTGAGTGTAAATTTCTACAGTTATAGAATCAATTCTGCATAAAATTCTGGTCATTCACTTCGTTGTGATGCTCATTAGAGCCATTATTACAGTCTAAACTCTGGCCACCGCAGTATCCTTACTCGCAATCCAAAGTGTTCTTGCTCTTTATCAACACAATATTTCCTTTGAGCTTGACTAACTAAAGCAGGTGAGCCACATTATTACAACTTCTCTATGAACTGTTTAGGTGATCGATGCCATCTCAGCAGCCATCTCCAGCACACCCGGCTGCAGCCTGCTGGACGTCGACCCTGGAGCCTCCACTAACCGCACCGTCTACACCTTTGTGGGCTCTCCTGAGGCAGTGGTGGAGGGGGCGCTGAACGCCGCCCGCCAGGCCTTCAGCCTTATTGACATGAGAAAACATTCAGGTGTGTCTGAGCCCAGCAGCTTATCTCAGGGAGCTGCTTCCTAACATCAAGGCATTAACATGTTTCCTGTCCAGGTGAACATCCTCGGACCGGGGCCATGGACGTTTGTCCCTTCATTCCCGTCCAGAACGTCAGCATGGACGACTGCGTGCAGTGTGCCAACGTGTTCGGACAGAAACTGGCAGAGATGCTGCATGTGCCCGGTGAGGCTCATTAAAAAAACTGCTTCAGCTTTACTGCAGTCAAACATGCAAGAAAACAAGAATGAGAAACAGAATAAAATTATAAAACTAAATGCCAATGTAAAATTTTAAAAAAAGTAGTCAATTTTTATTGTTTATTAGGAAAATTTTTAAAAAAACCAGTGATACCTGGATAAGACAGACAGAGACATAAAGCACAAAAAGCAAGTAACACAGACAGACTTATGACAACCTGCAATGTTTCACAGTTGTGAGGTTTTTGTTGTTAAGCCTTTTTCTCCACACAGTGGTTTTCTAATGATGGCAACAATGTCTCCTTCTTTTGTGGAAGGTGCTGATCAGTGCCCAGAATTTTTGTGTGAGTTAGGTAAATGACAGAGGTGCTAGTTAATTCAGAATTTCATATTGTAAGTAAATAAGTCTGGAATTTAATAAGTCTTTTGTAGCTGAGGAAATCAGACTGAAGTGGAAGGTTTTGGTTTGTTATTCAGGACTATAAGAGCTGTACGGAGACCGATTGCACAGATGCTAGTGTTGTATCAGTGGTGAGAGACGAAGTACATGAAAAAAAAAAATCACCTGTCGCATTCAAATGAAGCCAAAGAGTCAGAAGTTGATTTATTTATTGTTTCTTAACTGAGTCAAAAGTCTTATCTTATCTTGACTTCTGAGATGAAAATAAAACACTTTATGTTAGAGCCCAATAATAACATAATCCTGGGCCAATAATGTGGCAATAAAAGAGAGGGAACTAGTCAAGTCAAGTCAACTTTATTGTCAATTCTGCCACATGTACAGGACATACAGAGAATAGAAACTACGTTACTCTCAATCCCTAGATAAAAAAGCAAATGAACATTTAAATATAAGAGTGATTAAAAAATGCAGGTAAAATAATTAAAAAGTAAAAATTTTAATAAATAAATACAATACAATTTTACATATAACAAGAAAGCTATACAATATACAATATAATGGGTAAATGACATTGGGTGTAAACCAGGCAGAGTAGTGCAAATGGGCAAATAGTGCAAATGGAGATTTAGTGATGTACGGTAAGAGATAGTGTAACAACAAAGTACGTATTACTATTTAATTTTAATGTACATACAAGATAATAAACAAAGTATTTTTTTAGTTGACCACTGTTGGCCGAAATGTATAGCATAGAATAATGATGCCTGTGAGGGTAAAGCTGTTAGTAACAGTACAGTAATATTTTTCTAAGAATAAGAGAAGCTGTGAGCAATAAAATAGTAATTTCTGTGCAGAATTATGGGAATGCATTTATAATAACAGTGATGTGGTAGTAATGGCATGATAATAAGATAATAATGCACGTTGGTGTTTTCACATATTAGGATAATATTACAATATTTATATGTGAAATGAATTTTCCATATACCTTAAAAAGGGTCCTTTGTTTGAATGTAATAATATTCAAATATTTTATCTTTGATGCTGTGGTGTACTTGTGTGGTAGTTTTTATATAATAACTATAAATCAGTGCAACTAAATATAAGACTACCATTTCTACTATGCTGCATACAAAAGCTAAAAGCCAATGGAACAAGCTATTACTAGTTATTATATTGTAATTGCATAGTGGTATACGGTATTATGGAACTATTGTCCCTTTATGCCACACTCCACACTATTACCATGTTCTTACTGAGTTGTCAATAAATTGCTACCAAAGTCAGAGAGCAACTTTGTCACTACAAATGCAAACATTTGGACGTCAGCTCCAGTGCATGCTGAGCCCAGAACAAAACTCCAGAAGTGCAAATGAGTGGGTGGCACTGTATTCCTGGTCATTCTTTTAAGAGCTGTTAAAACAGACTGGTCAATTTTGAATGAGAACGCTAAAGTAAGGGGGATGGGGGAGCACAGAACTGGAAGGTTAATGAGTTAAAATGATTTGGGGGGTTTTTCCTGACTGCTCTGATTTTTAAAAACCACAAAATGTTTTTACATTAGAACCAAAAGGGAGGCTTCACCCTCTCAGCAATAAACCTGAGATTCAAGTCTCAGCTTACTATACACTGTTTTTGGTTTGGTTTTGGTTTAAATTCAAATTAAGAAGTAAATAAGGTTCTTTTTCCACAGTGTATCTTTATGGAGAAGCAGCTCGAACAGCGACCAGGAGAAGCCTTCCATCTGTGCGAACAGGAGAGTACGAAGCTTTGCCTGAAAAGGTGAGGACTCATCAAATCATTATCTCCTTTCTTCTTCGCTCATTTAGTGTTGTGTGGTTCTAACTTCTGAGAATGATTTCTAAAAAGAAAAAAGAAAAAAAAAGGTTTCTTTGTAACAGCAGGGTCAGTGATTGATTTTTATTTTTAACTTGAAATATGGTTAACCACAAGAAAATTGTCTCTATTTCCAATTACAATGTTTTTCTCCCTCCAGTTGAAACGTGATGAATGGGCCCCTGACTTTGGCCCCGCCGACTTTGTACCATCTTGGGGCGCAACGGTAACTGGTGCTCGTAAGTTCCTCATTGCCTATAATGTGAACCTGATCAGCACTAAAGAACAGGCTCATCGCATAGCACTGGACATCCGGGAGCAGGGTCGAGGGAAGGACCAGGTGCGTCCTGGGAATCTGGGTTATTTATTTAGCTTTTCATGTTGTGGGTGTTGCTCGCTGTCATGACATGATTAAAATGTCCTTTTAGGATTTCTTTCTTCCTGTTTTGTTGATGAATTTTTCAGATTTTTCTTTTTTAAATCAATTTTTTTCTAATATTTTCCACTTTTTGGAGAATTTGTTGAAATTTCCGATTATTTTTGAATTTCTTATGTTTGTTTGAAAGGTTTACTTAATTAAATAGGACTTGATATATAACTAAGTATTAAAAACTTTTTTTCTTCTTCTCTGTGTTCATAAGCCTGGGCAGCTGAAGAAGGTGCAGGGGATTGGTTGGTACCTGGATGAGGCTAACCTTGCTCAGGTTTCCACCAACATTCTGGACTACGAGGTGACGCCCCTCCATGCTGTGTATGAGGAGATCTGCAGAGATGCGGAGGTTAGAGCTGTGTGCTTTGTGTCGTTTCTGGGATGCTTAGAACTCAAATTACACTGCTGGAAATAGTTTATTTTGATGCACATGCTGTTTTTTTTGCAAATTAGCATTATAATACTCATTTTCATTTTTCCTGTAGTATATAAAAATTGATGTATCTCAAAAATAAAATTATGAAGACACTTAAAATAAATTTCCTGTTGTTGGAAACTTTTTTGTACAGCGTTTTTTTATTTACAGTTTTGAGGGATAAACCTCTTAAAACCACTTAAGCCCCACGCCCCAGGTACCAGGGGCAAAAAGGAGGACATCTCGTTTAATCAGTTATAACACGGGATGAGAAATATAAGTCCAGACATGTGTGGTATCCACAGAAACCTCAGAATCTCAGCTAAAATGTCATATAAACCATTTCTACAACCACCAAATACATTGAAAACAAGCCATGATTAAACGAGCAGTTACGTAAATGCACAGAAGACCGCTAAACAAACAAAACCGAACTGGAAATTCTCCAGACTTCATGTAACCGACTAAAGATAGGCTGGTTAGCTTCCAGAGCTATCACTGACTCCACACACCAAGTTTCACCACGATCAGACCAAATTCACTGAATGAGCCACAAAAGAAGACCACTAAAACACACAGTGGTGCAAATGCGCTAAGACAGAGATTGGCTTACCATCCCGATTTCCTCCGTTATTTTCGCTGGTAGCCGATAGCCACGTGATTACCAGTAGTTACCATGCCTACCTAGCTGCATCAGAGCCGTTTTCTGTCAACAACCATTTTAGACCCACCTACAGACACGTGACTGGACAGACGCCACATGCAGCAAATTTGGGCCCACGTCTGATTGGTTGAAGTGACGTGAACGTGGCATTGTTACTTTGTTTCTATTGGCTAATACGATTAAAAAGAGGTGTCAATCATGCAAATTGACCAAAAGAAACCAAAGTTACAGCCCCTCGGAGTTTAAAGGGCCAGAGACCATTTAAACACTTCATGCGCACTGCAGAAAAGGGCCATTACCATGTAAATGTGTGGTTAATTCTTCAAAAATATATTTTAAAATAGAGCATTTTTAGGCCTGATAATAACATTTTATTAATTTCTGCTCTTTAATACCTAAAAAAATTCAACTGGCATAGTGTCCAATTATGTGCCAAAATTGGACATTTTTGTACAACGTCTGGATATTGATGTATTGACAGGGCAGTAATTTTTTGCTGTTTCACTTTAGAAACATAAATCTTTGCACAGATGATGTTTATATGTTGGTTACTGAAATCCTGGAACCAAATGTGATCTGAGGCATATTTTTAAAATGGTTATATGCTAAAAATTAAAAAAAAAAAAAAAAAATTAGGGGAGGATAAAATATACTTACTTTTCCTGTGTTCCAGTCTCAGGAACTTTGACACAGTAATATCTGCTTCAATATTTACACCTCTGGTGAAATCTCACAAGTGTTAGCTTTATTTTGATACCAAGATTGTAAGGACAGAGTTTGTAATTGGAGAGACATAATCAATTAAATTTGGGCATTACATTTTCGAGCAGGAAGTTCAGAAACCCCCTTTGGTGCTTAAGAGGTTAAATTTCTCTAACTATAAATATATGTAAAAAAAAAGAAAAAAAGCTAAAAATGATTTTCATTTCTTTTGTGGTTTATTGCACTTTTTTGCAATTTTTGTGGTTACTATGGACTTAATGCATACATATTATTAAAATTTGAGCTATAGCTGTTGTATTACGTATAGCAACTTGAAATGCTCCCAAAAAGGGAACTACAACATGTAAAAATATAAATATAAGCTCTGGCAGACTATGGTAGGTCTTAAAGGGTTAAGTAAAGACCAACAAATCCTTAGACTGTTACTGACTTAATTTTTTCTTTTATTGAAATTGTCTTTTAGGACCTGAACTTGCCTGTGGTCGGCTCTCAGATTGTTGGCCTGATCCCTCTGAAGGCTCTGCTGGACTCTGCTGACTTTTACATCCAGAGAGAACGACTCTTCATTATCGAAGAGGAGCACAAAGTCCGACTGGTCAGCAGATGACTCTTTTTTTTTTTAAAGATATTTTAATAAATTATAGGCTCTGATTGTTTGTTTGTTTGTTGTCAGGTGATCAGTAAACTTGGCCTCGACTCCCTCGGTCCGTTTAATCCAAAGGAGAGAATCATAGAGTGAGTATTTACAAACTGTGATGTAGTCAGCTGATTCATTATATACTTTATATCCCGAAAAATATATAAGAACATCGAAGAACATTCAGCCCTTATAATGACAGGATTACATTTTATCTGTGAGTAATAAATCAACAGAAAGCAGAAGGACATTATAAATCATTTTAAAGTCTGTAGAACATTTGTGGAGTGGATTGAGAAAACTGCCAAACCCACCTAATAATCATTGAGGGTTAGTAGGTTGTCTCTGGCACCAGATTTTACTGAACTTCTGAACCCTAGCACACCAGTCGGATGCTTCTTTTCCACTGAGATGATGCCAGCATCTGTTGTATTTTGGTGTCTTTTAAGGACCATATTTCAACAAATGTGAGAACCATTTCTTATACAGTGTTAAGGTGGGACATGTCTTAAACAGAATCATGGCAGACAGAATCTGTTGGTTGAATCAGTTTTTTTTAATAGTAGTCCCTCCAGTAGTTACTGATATCAGTGGTTCCATATCAATCATATTTGCATCAGTGGATATCTGATATCTTGTATCAATGTCAGTTTGTTCTGCAATGACAATATCAAAAACTGTACGTCTCTCACTAGCAGTGCCGTCACTAGAAAAGAGGTCAAACGTGTTATGATTTTCATGAAGGTCCTGTTGGGGGCTTTAGAGTTTCTCTATGCAGGTGCTCAGAAATTCCTCTTTGTAGATGGAGCAGTTCATCTGTCTTCATCTGAGGCAAAAAAAAAAAAAAAAAAATTGAAACATGCCAATGAGAGCCCGATCCTTATGGTCCATAGTCCCAGATCTGTGAGGCTGTGGTTCACCTAGTTTGAGGCCAAGCGTCCAAAACAGTAGTTTTCTTGGCGCTTTTCAGCGCTGTTAATTCAATCTTGAAGGCTTGCTTACAAAAAATTAGAAAAAAGAGAGCTGATTATTAGCTCATCAAAACACAACACATAATCACCTGACAGGTTTTCTCTAAGTGCACTGTTACAATTTTAAAGGGCCCGATTCTAGACATGTCCATGTTTACTAAAACTCCCTCTAATAAAATAAGAAAACAACCCAAACCTAACTGACAGAATCCACCCATCACTCAAACAACAACCCCAAGGATCTTAAACACACAAAAATTTTGCTTATTAATCTATCAATATGTTATGGAAATTAGAACTTCAGGGCCACAAAAGTTTTGCCCTACTCTTGGTTTAATTAATACTTACATAGTCTGAAATCAGACTTAAAATCACTCCCTCTGTTCATTTTTCCCCACATCATATCTCAGTGGTTGGCCTCAGATTCCACAGCGTCCTGAGAGTCCAAGGTCAACTGACATAATTTCACCTGCTAAATACACACAAAAAATCTTGTTAAAAGCCACACAGTTATGTTCCCCTTTTAGCACTTTAACATACATAGATTTAGCACAAGATATAAACCCGTTATAACAATGTGTCATCACTAAATTATAAATTTCTTGTCCAAATCTGCCCTTCTGAACAGACCTGACCACCTTATTTAATTATCCTGTTACTTTACTATTATATCTTTCACCAAGTAATCCTCCTCAGTCTCTGCTATGTTTCCTTCATTGAAAGCCTCAGACACACAGCCACACAGGAAGCTTCTTTCTCACCACTCATTTCAGCTAATTTGCATACTGAGTCATATCTCAAGAAGTTACCATGACAAGAGAAAGGCATATTTAAATCTTACCACATTATTAAATTATTTTATTCCTTCCTAGGAAAATCACTTGTTTTGCTCAATCGACACAAGAGCACTTCCAATTCACTATTTTAACACTACTTCAAGCTCTTAATCACTTTTTCATTTTCACCAACGTCACTCTCTTGTCATGGAGCTTTTCTGAGTTATTCCTCAACTTCAGGGTTTAAGTGTGTTAAATTCACACTATTTTAACACTAATAAACAGACTCACATGCTCAACATGCTGTCTAATCTTCATGAGCTCTCTCGTAGTTGTAATGTTAATGCATTTTCTGTTTGTGTGTGTGATTTTGTATGTTTCTTTTTGCAGTGTTTTCCAACTTAAGCAGTCAGTTTTCTCTTCCCCAAGTTTACTAACCCAAATTTTGATGTCCCACCTTAAATAACAGCATTCCTTGTCTTCAGCCAATTCAACCAGAAACTCGGCCTGAACGTTTCCAGTGATGTTTACCTATAAGTTTCTTCCGACCGCTGCATGTGGAAAATTGATCCAGGTCTGCTTTACACCTAAAAATAACAAAACTGAGACATTTTCATTATCATGAGTGCTTAAACGACCCACTTCTCTCTCTCCGGCCAGAAATACCAATTTATTTCATGTATTCACCTTGATAAATGTAAGCGTGTTCTTCCTTGCGTTCATGTTATGTGGTCATGTTAATGGAGTGTAAGCTGCTTCTTCATTGCATATGTATTTTATAATCAGGTTTAACTCATGCCTCTTTGCACTGAGCTGTGGATTCAAACTATCTCAATTCTGCTTCTCCCCAAAAATTATTTCACATGTAACCCTTTGTATATGTGTGTTTTGTATAACCTCATTGTTGTGATATGGTGAACATTTCTTAAACCTTCATAAGTTCAGCCTTCAATCCAATTTTCCCATATGCATTCACTATATAATGTCCAGGTTCACCTCTCACTGTTCTCACAGTTTCCTGTGGGGCCTCGCAGATCAACACAGGCCCAAATCAGCTGTTTCTTCTCTCCATTGCTTCTCTCTTGATCTTTTCAGTCTTTTTGAGGATTAGCATGGCAAATATGAAAATCAGTGTCCAGTGCTTCCACACAGTTGTTTATCCCACTGTTCAACTTCCCAGCTTAGAGTTCAGAGTTCATGTTCCATCAAGTGTTTTCTTACATGCTGCTGCTGGAGTCTTCAGTGTTATAGTTCAGTTGCACTGTCTTTTTGCCTGCTGTTAATTCTTCAAGTACACGGTGTTCTGTCTGTCTTCTGTCTTCATCAGGAGATTGACTGTCCTTTAAGCTTCTCCTCAGGATAAGGAGACAATGAGAGGTGAAGCTGTCAAATTTTAAGCCAAAGCCTGGCCTGTTTTCCTCCCAATTCTGTTAATCTATGCTTTTGCCGCTGTACTCATGTTTTCAGATTGAGAAGAGTCCACCTGTATTGACACACTAAAACCTTCAATTAATATCCTTTTCATTTCTTTTCTTAAGACATCCATTTGCTTCATCTGCCTAGATTTTAACTCGTCTCTCTCTCTCTGGGTGCACGCTTCACACACCAGCCAGTTTCTTTTTATGGGCATGCAAAGTTCCTGTCACACACACAGTTTCCTGTCAAACACACACAGCCACACAGACTCATATTTTTCTGTTTCTCTCCTTCCTGTTTCTACAGGATAATCGAACTCTTATTTTTTTTATATTTACAGTCTATAAACCCTCTGTAATTCTGCTAAGTCTGGATCTAAAGACAATGTGCCCTTATTACACGCACACACACACTTAAATATACTAAGCTCTTTCATTTGCCAGAATTCACACCAAATCTTCAGCGTGCTCAGCAAAGCTCTTTCAGACATCAGGACAATTAACAATTTTCCACACATATCACCATTCTTTCAGCTCAGTTTTGTAGCATCATTCACGCAATACTTTCATCAGCATTTTACACACTTCCCTGAACTTCGTCGCCTCACACACACTTTTTTCTCAAAACAATGTTCACCTTTAATCATTCATTCCAAATGACAATTTTACACTTCACTTATACATTCACACATTTATATATAACAAAAGACTGCCAGTAACTGCCAAGATAAATTATTTCCATTACCATATTCACATCTTCACTTCATCTTCCTCTAGTAATAGTCATCCTACCATTTCGACTAATTTAAAAGCATCTAAGCCCAGGTTCGCCCACCTTGCTGGTCAATTGTAGCCGTTATCTGTCCGGGACAGTGGCCCAATTACTAAGTCCTATCTTAATCTATAAGCGCTTCCCGCAGCTCGACAAGAAGCTCCACCTCATGAACGCCCAGCGTCCTGCTGGCGCCTGAAGCTTTACGTAAAGCTTACATGTGAGCCACGTCTAAAATGGTCACGCCCGGGGGCCCCGCCCCTGTCGGTCAAACAGTGCAAGAAAAGTGGTGCTTGACCACTAGCTATTAACGAGCGTCCCCAGTGCTCGCAGTTGCCAGCTGAATTAACCCTCTCGCCCAAGGACAATGTTCCACGTCCGGAACAGAGTGGAGGCATAAACCTCAGAACATTTTGCACCCCTAGGAAGTCCAAATTCCCTTCCTAAGTACTTTAAATAATTCTGGAAGCATCACTGGGGACTATAACCGCCAGTTTATTATCTGATGCCCGGGTCCCACCCTATAATCAATGTGGGAATAAAATTCCCTGACCAAATGTCCTAATCTAATCTCTTTTCTTGGCTGACGTAACACACACATAACACACCAACTTCAAACATACATCACAACAACTTTCAACTTCACCCTAAAATTAATCACAATAAATGTTATCAAATATCCTCAAACTTTACCTGTATTTATTTCTAATTACCCAAAGGTATCATGGACATGTCACCTGAGACCTACTTAATAGATTTTATAATTTAGTTTAATTTCCACTACTGAGCCACTTTAATGGTAATAATCATCAATTCAGCGGACAACTAATTTAGAATTTATCCAATGTGCACAATTTTCAACAGGCTTGCGCTTACCTATACTCTTTTGTATAGGTATGAGGTGGTCTGTTGTCCACCTCATATCAGATCGTACCTTAAGGTCCAAATTAGTCCCCTCAGCCGCAAAAGAATCCGGGTCACTGGCACCAAGTATTAAATTCCGGTTCTTTTGGATTCTTTAGGGCCAAGAAAGACACGGCTCAAAAGTGGTCCTTTTACTTTAAAAATGATCTTTATTTTACATATCCGGGATAATGAGACCTGAACACAAAACACACAACCCCAGGTCTGAAGCACAAACGGAAGCCTAGGTATTTATATACTTGCTCTCTACGTCACACCACACTTTAAGTTTCGATCAAACAGCCTAGTTGGTTTCACTTTCTACTGCAATTACCATGCTTCTGCAAAAGCATGCAGTTTCCTGTCAGCACTTTTGGCACAGAGTGTACTCAGAGTTAGGCCTTTCTTATATAAAGCAATATAATCAGCATATAAACATTTAAGATTATAAATTTAAACCTCAACAACATCCAGCATCAATCCTGTGACAAACCCAGAATATTTTAAAATAAAACAAAAGCTATATATAACATTATTTGTCAGTATTACATAGTAGATGATAAATGATGATGATATCTTGTTAAAGGTAGGTGTGGTGTGTATCACCTGTGCAGGTACATGGTGAAGTCACAGGAGGATGGACAGCTGGTGTCTTTGTCTCTGCAGCAGTTTGTTCAGAGCGTTGGTGCTCGGACAGCAGCTCCCGGAGGAGGATCAGTTTCTGCAGCAGTTGGTGCAATGGTACGAGCTTTTAGGTTCATAACAAAATGATACAATTCTACTTTTAGTTACTTATTTTATTTCGTATCCCTCTTGTAGGGGGCCGCACTGGGTGCCATGGTTGGTCAGATGACGTATGGGAAGAGGCAGTTTGAGAATCTGGACAGTGTGATGAGGAGGCTGATTCCTCCATTTTATCAGGCCATGAATGAATTGCTGGACATGGTGGATGCCGACTCCTCCGCCTTCAACAGCTACATGGTGAGGAGGAAGGTTCAACACCTGCAGAGCCTCAGAAACATCTGCAGGCACCCGGAACCATTTCCACTCTGTACTTCTTTCACTGTAACCAGATTGTGATTATGTTTTGTCTTCATGTCAGATTTGAGTTGATCATATTCGTCTCATGTTGTAGGCAGCACTGAAAATGCCAAAGAAAACTGCAGAGGAAATGAAAAGGTGAATACTCAAGACTTTAAGACCACCAATTACTGCTAATGACTGAATGCCGTCAGGTTACATTTTTTAAAATGTCTTTAAAATGTCCTTGTAACTTTCAGAACCACGTTTCCACGTTTCATTTTTTTTAAATAATCAAATATTCACTTTGTTCTTTTTACAACTGAATAGGTCAAAACTAATTTCATTTCTGTCACCTGCAGAAACACTTCCTGTTTATTTGTTTGTTGTTCTCATCAGGAGAGAAGCTGCGATGCAGGAAGGACTGAAGCAAGCTGTTGCCGTCCCATTGGCTCTTGCTGAGAGGATCAGCATCCTTTGGCCATCTCTTAAAGAAATGGTTGTCTACGGAAATTTTAGCTGCAAGTCTGATGCTCAGGTGTGAAAAAACAATCATTTCTACTTGTTCTGCTCAGATTCTCTGAAGGTTATAAAGTGCACCTTCAGTATCATGGTGATATAAACTGAGAGGAACTTTGTCTTTTACTAGTGGTGTGTTAAAACATGAATGCATATTAAATCTTTTAGTCTTTACTCCCACTTTTCTGTCAAACATCGCCTGCAACAGCAAAGCTGTAAATAAGCCCACCTGTCATGTTTTATTTCTGGTCTCAGGTAGCAGCTAAAGCTTTAGAAACAGCTGTTTTTGGAGCGTACTACAATGTCACGATCAACCTCAAAGACATCACAGATGAAGCCTTCAGAGCAGCAGTAAGTGTGTCCATGAGGTTCTTCAATGTTGCTGTTGATATGCTCTGCTTGTGAATAACTCGTTTTTTTTTTGTTTCTGCTGCAGACCCAGAAGAGAGCGTCAGAACTGCTGCATGAAGCCAAAGACAGTAGTGCTGCCATCCTCCATGCTGCAGAGAAAAGAAACTGAATAGACTGAAGAAATCAATAAAGCTGCACAAGGAAGATAATCTGACATTAATGTGACTTTAAACACTGAAGAGCTGGATACAATGACTGTATTACAAGGGAAAATCTTCAGAATAAAGAGGTTACTTGAAATAGTAAAAGTTTTTAATTTTTGGTCATTTCTTTCTGTTCATATTCACAGAGCAGAATCACAATAACATTTTATTGTAAGATGATTTTCTGTCGGGACAGATTATGTTGCAGTGGACGAACATGGTACTAGAAATACTGGTAAAAATTGTATCGTATGCGATGGCAGACCGTGGAGATGTGGGGAAAGAGGACCCAAACGCCGGCAGGGCTCTAGACTAACTTTTTGCCATGGGCTGTTAAGGTTCACATAATTGAGGAAGGAGAGTACAAACAACCGTTGGTCCAGAAGATCTTGGTCAAACAATTGATTTTAATGAATAGACGTGTGGGAAGACCACTGTACGCAGACAGTAATTAATCTTCGACTTAATCAAAGCATACACAGATGTTTATAGCATCAGGGTTTGAATTAACGACGCCCCTTCATACGTCACAGACAGAATATATACATAC